GGCGCCTCTTGGGCCGTCCTGTAACGTCGGAAAGCCCAAAAGGCAACTTTGTTGAAAATGTACGTTTTACGAAGGGAATGGGCCAATTTTTGCGTCTAGGGGCCCTCTTGGGACGCATGTTGGAGGCTTCTTGGGGCCTCTTGGGGGCGTCCTTGGACGTCTGGGGTCTCCTGGGGCCTCTTGAGGGGCCTCCTGGGGGCCTCCTGGCGGCCTCTTTTGGGCGGAAGGCTCGAGCTTGCGGTTCGTGGTCCCCCTCGGGCCCCCTCTTGGGCCCGTCTTGGGGCCCCCTTGGGCCATCTTGGGCGCCTCTTGGGCCGTCTTGGGGCCCTCTTGGGCTGTCCTGGGGCCCTCTGGGAAACTTCTTGGGCCGTCTTGGGGCGGTCTTGGGCGCCTCTTGGGCCGTCCTGTAACGTCGGAAAGCCCAAAAGGCGACTTTGTTGAAAATGTACGTTTTACGAAGGGAATGGGCCAATTCTTGCGTCTAGGGGCCCTCTTGGGACGCATGTTGGAGGCTTCTTGGAGCCTCTTGGGGGCGTCCTTGGACGTCTGGGGTCTCCTGGGGCCTCTTGAGGGGCCTCCTGGGGGCCTCCTGGCGGCCTCTTGGGGCGGAAGGCTCGAGCTTGCGGTTCGTGGTCCCCCTCTGGGCCCCCTCTTGGGCCCGTCTTGGGGCCCTCTTGGGCCATCTTGGGCGCCTCTTGGGCCGTCTTGGGGCCCTCTTGGGCTGTCCTGGGGCCCTCTGGGGAAGCTTCTTGGGCCGTCTTGGGGCGGTCTTGGGCGCCTCTTGGGCCGTCCTGTAACGTCGGAAAGCCCAAAAGACAACTTTGTTGAAAATGTACGTTTTACAAAGGGAATGGGCCAATTTTTGCGTCTAGGGGCCCTCTTGGGACGCATGTTGGAGGCTTCTTGGGGCCTCTTGGGGGCGTCCTTGGACGTCTGGAGGCCATCTTCAGCATCTCGGAGCCCTCTTGGAGGCCTCTTGGAAGTTTCTTGGGCCGTCTTGGGCGCTTCTTGGGCCGTCTTGTCTGACTGGGGAGGCCTCCGGCAAGCCCCGACGAGCCTCCGGGCCCCCCGGGGCGCACATTTGTGGTCGGGGTCCCGGCCCCGGGCCCCCGGACCCGGTGCGCCGATATATGTATATGCTCTGCTTGGCGCTCTATGAGTTCTTCGAGTTGGCGCTCTATGAGCTGCTCCGTTTGGCGCAAAACGAGCTGCTTTGTTTGGCCCTTTCTGAGATGCTCTGTTTGGCGATCTCTGAGATGCTCTGTTTGGCGCTCTACGAGCCGCTATGTGAGCTGCTCTGCTTGGCGCTCACTGCGCTGCTCTGTTTGGCGCCCTACGAGATGCTCTATTTGGCGCCCTCTAAGCTGCTCTGTTCGGTGCTCTATGAGCTGCTCTGCTTGGCACTCTGTGAACTGCTCTGTGTGGTGCTCTATGAACTGCTCTGTTTGGCGCTCTATGAGCTGCTCTGCTCGGCGCTCTATGAGTTGCTGTGCTTGGCACTCTATGTGCTGCTCTGTTTGGCGCACGAGCTGCTCGATGTGGCGTTCTGTTCACCGTTCTGCTAGACACTCGTTTAGACGCTGTATTAGGGGCACTCTATTCTATGCTATCTTAGGCGCTGCACTAGGCGCTCGATTAGAGTAGGCGCTATGCACGGCGCTCGACGAGGCCCGAACATCGAAAAGTGAAACACAAACAGCGAAACTCGAGACCTCAACATCACAAACAACATCACAAACAACTGAAACCCGAAAACTGGCCCGAAACGCGAAAACCCACAAAAACCGGAAAACCGAAGCTAGACAACGGAAACCCGAAAGGCCCGAAACGCAGAACCTGAACGAAGCGGAAATCCACAGCCAGAAAACCAAAACCCGAAAGCCGGCCCGAAACTCATAACCAAACATGATCGACCCACGAACTCGGAAAGGAATATAGAAATGTAACGAACGGCAGCGTTTTCAAAAACACCTGATTGCGTGACGGGCAAATGCAATGTTGAGTGTATCGATCTTGATGTACCGTGCCGAGAGCTGTGCTGCGCTGCGCCGTGCTGAATTGCGATGCGCCATGCCGCAATTGTGCTCTATAGCGTCGTGGATCGAGTGTCCTCCTTTGCATCCGAGTCCTGACCGAACTGATCTGGATCTTAAGCTCGAGCTGCCTGAACACATAGTAACTGCCCCAGAGATAATTGACAGTGGGACATGCTAGGAGGACGCGCCGCGCAACGTCCCAAGGGACGCGCCAGGCGACGTGCCAAGGGACGTGCCATGGGGTCGCACCGCGGGGCGTGCCTATCTAGACTAGCCGGACATGTCAGTGTGTGTGCGCACCATGCATGCACTAAACGATCCACCAATCTACGCACTTCTGTCGTGCATTCCGCTATTGCCGCTGCCTCTGCGGAGAAAGAGTCTGTCCAAATCTCGAGGAATGTGCCTCCCATGGCCAGCTTGAGGTCATCACCAATGCCGAACGTTGCTTCTATGATCCATGTAGGTGCCGCGCAAAATCCGCCCCGAGCCCCGCCATCTGCATGAACGATCATATTACAATCGTGGAACGCTTTGCTCGGGTGAGGCCAACGGAACTCTAAAGATCATGTTTGCTTGACGTCCATGGTGTAATTGACGAGGTGGTCCGCGAAGGCATGTTTTGCTACGTCGTCGCCATGTCACTGTCCTCCTCCTCGTCCTCCTCCCAACCGCGCGGACGAGGACGATGTCGATATCACGACCCTCTCCAATTCAGACCACTCGCTGAACTGCTGCGCGGTGTGAAATCGACCTCTTCCTACCGCGCGGATGAAGACGAGGTCGAGTTCACGACCCGTCCTTATCAGACCACTCGTCGGGATTGCGCTGCTCCTACACTCCGCCTCCTCCCTGCTGCTCTGTTGCACGGGAACGGTGGCGGGGTTTGCCGCGGGCAGCTGGATACATGACTCCTCCCTGTCGCACCCCCAGACATGTCGGTACGGCAGGCAGGGCGTTCCGCCTGAGACTTCATCCTCGCTTATGATCTTTCAGCTCAATTGCTGCAGCAGCTTCGAATATGGAGAGAGGGTGGTTTTCAAAATGTGGCTCTCGCCTTAGCGTCGCGCGCACCCGCCTGAAGCCATTGCAGCAGCTCCAAGGGTGGAGAGCGGTGCCTTCTTCAATCTGTGGCCCTCATTAGCTCCGCGCACGCCCGTCTCAAAACATTACAGCAAGTTCGAAGACGCATGGCGGCTCTGTTTTTATCATGTGGCTCTCGTCTTAGCGCTGCGCAAATGCGTCTTAAGACGTTCAACAGCTTCAAGGATGGAAGGGGGCCGTTTCGAACCTGGCTCTCGCCATAGCGCCGCGCACACCCGTCTGGAAACATGGCAGTCGTTTCAGCGATGGAGGGCGTGTCGTCTTCAAAAGGAAGCTCTCGCCATAGCGCCGCGCACACCCGTCTTGAAACATGGCAACCGCTTCAGGGATGGAGGGCGTGTCGTTTTCAAAAGGAAGCTCTCGCCTTAGCGCCGCGCGCATTCGTCTTACAAGTTTGCTGCAGTTTCGAGGTGCATTTGCAAAGTGTGGCTCTCGCCCTAGCGCCGTGCACGTTCGTTCCAACAGCTGGCAATAGCTTCACGGATGGAGGGCGGGACCTTTTCACAACGAGGCTCTCGCCCTAGCGCCGCGAGCATCCGTCTCAAACTCTTGCAGCAACTTCAAATATGGATGGGTCACTGGCCGCTTTCAGAAAGGACTCTCGCCAGAGCACCGCGCGCATTAATTTGCGCAACGCTTGGCAGGACAGAACACTGTTCTTCTTCAAGACAGGGCTCTGGCTGAAGGCTGCGCTAATGTTACAGACCCGATGCTTCAACACAAGCAGCGCTACACTGATGTAGGACGCCTATTTTTTTAGCAAGGAGCTATCACTTGAGACTTCCTACCTTTATGACCACAAGTATACGCATGTGCAACGCTTACGTGCGCGGATGGAGGGTTGTCCTACGTCGAAAGGGGGTATTCGCTGGACACCTCTTTGAATTGTATGACCGCAGTTGTTCGCCTTCCTGATTGCGCGCCAGAAAGATGCAAGGCAATTCCTTTCAAAGCAGGGCCCTCGCCAACATAGCAGGCCCAACTGTGCTGGACTCTCAAAAAGGGGGCGCTTCCTGCGTGAAGAGCGAGCTCCTCGTGCAGGGGGGCACGAGGAGGAGGAGGCTTGGGACGGGAAGGTGTACTGCAGCATCGTCGATGCATCTCTAGGGGAACAACAAAAAGTGGCATCAACCTAAAATCTCTGAGGTCCGCGCGGATTTCTCGGATCGGTGCTGGACTGGCTACCTACCAAACCACCCCAACCCAACCCGAAGACCCAGATTTCGGGTTGGGGGGGGGTAAGGGCTCCACACGTGTTTTCTCTGTGTTTCCCGCCGACCCCCCCACTGGAAATGGAGGGCAAATGGAGGCCTTCGGGTTGGGTTGGGCTGGTTTGGTGGGTGGTGATGGACCCCCCCCCTCCCTGGCGCGCGGAGCGCGCCAGGGCGCGGTTTATGTCATTGTTCGGCGCTGATCGAGGCGCGCCGGGGCGGCGCGCCAGAGGCGCCGCCAGGGGGGAGCCCTGCGCCGATCCGAGACATCCGCGCGGAGCTCCGAGTTGTCATGTTCATGCCACTTCTTGTTCCCCCAAGCTCTGGTTCACTCGGGCCCTCCTCATCGCCCTCCCTCCCCCTCCCTCCTCCTCCTCCTCCTCCTCCTCCTCCCTCCTCCTCCTCCTCCTCCTCCTCCTCCTCTTTCCTCCTCCTCCTCCTCCTCCTCCTCCTCCTCCTCCTCCTCCTCCTCTCCTCCTCCTCCTCCATCCTCCTCCTCCTCCTCCTCCTCCTCCTCCCTCCCTCCTCCTCCTCCTCCTCCCTCCTCCTCCTCCTCCCTCCTCCTCTCCTCCTCCTCCTGCTCCTCCTGCTCCTCCTGCTCCTCCTGCTCCTCCTGCTCCTCCTCCTCCTCCTCCTCCTCCTCCTCCTCCTCCTCCTCCGCGCCTCTGCCAGCGCACGCTCGAGCAGCTGCAGGCTGCTGTCCACGCTCCGCGCGTGACTCCACACGGCAGTGCGCAGGGCGGCGAGCGCCGGCAGCTGGCGGGAGACTCCCACCGCGAACGCCATCACGCCAGCCCGAGATTCCCTCCCTCCACGCCCTCCCCTCCCCATCGTCTCCAGGAGGGCGAGTGGAGGCGGATGAGGATGAGGAGAAAGTGGGGAGGAGAAGGAGGAGGAGGAGGAGGAGGCAGAGGGAGGAGGAGGAGGAGGGTGAGGAGGAGGGTGAGGAGGAGGAGGAGGAGGAGGAGGACCGTAGCCATTTTGGCTCAAGGCATTTGGCTTGAGTGGGCCCGCCGGCCCGCAGGAGCTTTTGCCTCACGCGTGTCGGCAACTGCCCCCGACCACGCTTTCCTTTTGGGATCACAATCGCCCACCAGAGCCCGCGTGGCACCGCAGAGAGCGCCGCAGGCGGGCGGCCGCGCGAGTGCTTGTGCGGCTGTGGGCCGCGCAGAGATTGCTTCGCCAGCACCACAGCGCTCAGAGGATGCCCCAATGGCACTGCATCTGCGGCGAGGCCAACCAGGCGGCCAGCAGCCACTGCTGGAAGTGCAAGCAGCACTGGCGGCAGTCGGACGCCTCTTTGCCGGCAGCCAAGGCGCGTGCACGCGGGCCCAGCGCCAAGCCGACTGGAGGCCGCGCTGGAGGCAGGGATGCATCCCCGAGGGCACCGCGCGAGAAGGCTCCCTGGCATGTTCCGAAGGAGGAGACTGTGGTAGTCCCGACGGACGACGAGCCGCCCACGGTGAGGATGGCAACGCCAGTGGAGGCCATGCAGAGCGAGGAGTACCAGCCCCTGAAGGCAGGCGCGACAAAGGAAGAGAAGGACGAGTACTACAAGGCAGTGAAGAGCAAGCTCGCCTTAGCCCAGCAGCAGTACAGGTTGCAGTGGGCCATGGGCGAGGACACCACGAACACGAAGCGAGTGATCGGCGTGTACCGCAGGATGCTCATTGCCGAGAAGACGGTCTTCGAGCAGCTCGCTTGGGTCGATGCCGCCATGATACGAAGCCAGAAGGTAATCGAGATAGTGCAGCAGGAGGCGGACGCGGCGCAGAAGGTCGCGGACAAGAAGTACGCAAAGCTCCGCAACACCCAAGACCACTTGAGGGCTTTGATGAGAAGCAAGGAGGAGTTGAAGATCATGGGCGCTGCGATCGAGGCGGAGGAGAAGGAGCGCCAGGAGGCCCAGGCGGCGGCAGACGCGGACATGGAGGGCGACGCGGTGTACGACGGGTACACGCAGTACTCCCAGCCCGCCGCAGCTGCTGGGCCGCCTGGTGTGTCGCAAGCTTCTACCACATCATCGGTTCCGTCTGCGACCTCAGCACCCACGAGAGAAGATATAGAGGGGATGATCCACACAACCACGCAGCCCCTACAGCAGAACTTGTACCAGATGCAGGCCATGATGCAGCAGATGTACACGCTCATGGTGGGCCAGCCTGGCTTCAGGCTGCCGCACGGCGCGGGCGAGGAGTGGCAGCAGCCGCCCGTGATGGGCACCACTCCGAGCCCCAAGCCGCAGGCGAAGGCGGGACCGCCGAAGCCAGCGCCGCCGACGCCGAACGGTCATGCTGCGGCCAAGGATGCTCCCGCGGCGCCACCGCCGGCCAGCACTGGGGAGTGCTCGCCCACGGAGCCAGCTGGCACGCCCGCGCCGCACAGCCCCGGCATGAGCGAAGAGCCGGCCAGCGAGGAGGCGGCCGCTCCCTCAGTGGCGGAGCGCGTGGCAGCATTCCAGAGGGGCGTTGGTGCAGCGGCTTTCGAGACACCGCAGCGCCGATCACGAGCATTGTCAGCAGAATCGATCAGATCGTCACCGGCAGCTGCGACTGGATCACCAGTTTTTGGCAACCGCAGACGCGAAGGAGCTCGGTCGAGGTCACCTTCGGAGAGGCCAGCATCAGTGAGGCCATCCAAGGAGCCCAGGCGTGCGTCGGAGGAGCCGTCGGGGCGCGCTGGCAAGGGCAAGGGAGAGCACCTTTTTCGGAACCCTGGCCCGATGCGGCAGGGCCGAAAGTGAGTAGCCAGATCAGTCATGCGCCGCCAACTTTCGGTCGGAGCCCTCTAGCAAGCTCAGCTTTCAGTTGGAGATCTCCTGTCAGTATAGCCGAGGCAGCGCAGCATGTACATGATTTCAATAGCAATAAGCAAGCACGTGTAGTACGCCAATTAGATTTTGAAGCTGATCCCAGTCCCCCCTTCATCCTGAGGTTGGCCGATTGGGTAGATATGGAGGTTGAGGCTGACGCTAGTGGAAGCCGCGAACCACCGAAAACGATTTCCCTTTCCGATGCGCTTGGAATCCAGGACCGACTGGAGCCCTCTGTGGGTGTGGAGGGTGCGCAGAAAGGCGAATGTTTGGGAGAAGTGACCTGTCATGTAGGGCAAGCCGCAGGATTGGTCAGGAGCCTTCAGCTCGAGGGAATAGAAATTGTACCAGACACTAGAATTGGAATGCAGTTGCACGCAGCAGCAGAGTTTGCATTAGCTTCATGTCCATACCAGCATGTCGAAAAGCATTCGGGGCGACTGTACATATACACGGACGCGTCAACTGAACCTAGCGATCCTGAGACAGCAGCTTGGTCAGCTGTTGCGGTACATGTGGGTCAGGACGGAGCTCTCTCGTTCCAAGGGGTGTTGTTCGGGAAGGTGCTCGAAACTTTAGCTTTTACCCCCGTTCTGAAGTCCCACGACAGCACTTCCCCAGAAATAGTTGCTGTCATTTGGGCTATGCTTTGGGGTGGGTTGTCAGGTTTTGGAGAGGTAAAGATCGTTGGGGATTCTCAGAATGCCCTCAACATCATGCGTGGGGATGCCCTCTCACACGTCAACCCAGCACTAGGCGATTTAGCACACCAGTTGTACCGAGAGGTGCGAGGGCTCAATCTCATCGGGGAAGAGCATGTGGCCTCGCATGATTGTATGCCTTGGAATGAGTTCGCAGACTCGGTCGCCAAGGCCGCCCGGCTAGGTGAAAAGATGAGACACCCTTTGCCGACACAGGCCATAGAGCAGCTCGAATTTCGAAGAGAGCGAGATTGGAGCTGGCTGGCGGAAGCAAATGAGAATACCCTGGCAGCTTACCCTCACTGGCATGAGGGCACTTTTTCGTTCACTCGAAAAAAGCAAAGGGTTGAGGTAGGGCAGCTAGGCGATGTTGGGGTCCCAAGCTGCAATGGTAGCAAGCAGATTCAGCATGTGGGGGTGAAGAGCTATGAAGGAGAGAAAGATGTGCGATACCAGTTGTGCGTCGTCTCATTCAATGCTACTTCTATGCTAGAGAATACTGCGAGCCGCCGACGTAGAGCGCAGCATCTCAGGATCCAGCTGCAACAGCATGGGGTGACGATTGCTGGGATCCAAGAGGGTAGGACGAAAGAAGGGAGGTATAACAAAGATGGGTTTTGTGTAGTGTCATCGGGAGGGGTTAGCGGTAACTTAGGTTGCGAGCTGTGGCTGTCTAGGGATAAGCCATACGCCACGCGCGCTGGCAGAGAGTACTGCTTCAAGCTAGAACAAATGAATGTACTCTTTGCAACCCCACGCATCCTTGTCGTCAGGGTGGAGGCTCCACTGTTGAGCCTAACGATCGGTGTTGGGCATTCGCCTCATTCCGCTGCCCCCCCTGCCGACAGGGATAGTTGGTGGAAAGAAGTCACCGAAGCTGCGGAGCGCTGGCGGCCAGACATATGGTGCGTCGACGCCAACGGCCGAGTCGGGAGCGTCGTCAGCCCATCCATTAATGATGGTGGGTGGGTTCAGGAAGAGGACGACAACGGAAGAGCTCTCCATGCGTTCGCGATGGAGGGAGATTATTTGGTCACCAACTCGATTGGGGATGGGGCCGGCCAGGGATATACTTGGGTCAGCTCACCAGGGTTCAAACATAGGATCGACTATGTGTTGATTGCCCCGGCCTGGGCATTGTACTTCGAAGAGCATGGAGTATGGTATGACATAGACCACGTACGCGATGAAAAAGGTGATGTTGAACCCCCCAAGCGAGGAGGCGGCAGGAAGGGCCCCCCCAGTGCCGATAGTGAAGGAGCCAAGAAAGAGAAAGAGGACCACTACCCAGTCTACTGTAAGCTAAGTTGGGCCACCTCCCCCCATAGGTCAGGTCAGAGAGTCGCGAGGTACAGCCTTGCGCAGGAGAGAGGAAGTGCCCAGCAGCTAGCGTTCGCCGCAGAGCTTCAAAAGATGCCTCTGCCCGACTGGAGACAAGATGTGAATGTTCAAACCTGGGAACTGCAGCAGAGTATGTTGAGTGCTGCAGTGACCCACTACCCGCCCGCTGCTCAGGCGCCCCGTCAGCCGTACGTTCGAGCACAGAGCCTCGAGTTCATTGCGCTCCGTCGGCGCGTCAGGGACGTGTTGAGAGCGGAGAGTTCAAGTCAGCCGCAGTTGGCCTTTAACGTTGCAGCCATTTTTTCACTGCGGGAGGCCCCGTTGCAGATTATCAGTAGCAAGCCCATCGGGCGAGCGGTAATCTTGGCCGCGAGGATGTTCCTAGGAGGGGGATTTGGGCTACAGGCTTGGATAGAGCAGCTTGGGGCGTTTATCCGAGCCACCGCGGCTGACCTCCGTGCCACGCTGGATGAAGATCGAGAAGCATTCCTCAGCGGACTTGCCGACAAGCTCGGAAATACGATCCACGAAGGGAACACTAAGAGTGAGTGGGACGTCCTTCACACTCTTAGGAAGCTAGGAGGCGGTGCTGGCAGAAAGAACAAAGCATTGAATAACGCGCTGCCATATAGGGTGAATTCCCAAGGTCGGGTGCTCCCTACTCGACGGGACATCGCCAACGATGTCACGAACCATTTCGCCGAGCTTGAGTGCGCCGAGGTGCTATCTCAGGAGGAATACGTCAAGAAATTTGGGCAGGGCCTCGAAGGGGCCAAATACGAAGAAGTCAGGAGCGAGAACCTCATCACCCTGCGTGAGACTGAATTGATCCTGGGGAGGCTAAAAAAAGGCAAGGCCGCGGGGACCGATCGAATTAAAAACGAGGTTTTACGGTCTTCGAATGTGGAGGTAGCTAGGCATTTGCACCCCATTCTAGTGAAAAGCATCCTCCACGCGAGTGAACCCGCCACGTTCAAGGGCGGAGTCGCTTTTGATTTGTACAAACTCAACGGGAAGCCAGCCCTCACCCCCAGCTATCGTCAGATTTTGTTGATGAACACGATAGCAAAGTGCCATCACTCATTCCTTCGCAACAGGCTTGGCATCGTCGTCAGGTACATCTTGAGAGAATCACAATGCGGAGGAGTACCCGGCAAGGGTACGGACATGGCATCTCACACTGTTAGATTGACGATGGATGTTGCGAAAAGAAACAATCACAGCTTCCTTGTTGTATTCACCGACTTGAAAGCTGCATTTTACAGGGTAATCCGAGAGTTGATTCTAGGTAAGCTTAGGGAGGATGACGATACCAACGATATACTTGAGTCTGCCGACATCCCGCTTGCCCTGACCCCGGTGATGAACAAGCTTATGGCTCAACCAGGGATATTGGAGCAATACTTGGACGATCCCCACATGTTGGCCGTGATGCAGGATATGCACCAGGACACATGGTTCTCGGTGCGCGACGCTGACCAGATGGCCAGAACCAGGAAGGGGACCCGACCCGGCAGCAATGCTGGGGACATGTTTTTCAATGTCTCGTTCTCCCCCATCTTAGCAGAGACGCATGACAAGATGTGCCATCATGATCTGTGGGTTCACCTGCCGGCCCAGGATGGTCCATTCATCAAGGACGGAGACTCGGACCACAATAAAGTGACAAATTCAACGTATGCCGACGATCTCACAGCACTAGCGATCTGGCGAGACAACGCCACGTTGAAGCAGGCAGCAACCAAGATGTGCATCATATTGCACGAGACAACGCTTTCACGTGGCATGTTGCTAAATTACGGTCAAGGCAAAACGGGAATTTTCGTTGGCATACATGGAGAGGGAAAGCAGGAGGCTAAGCAGCATTGGTTTGTAGGAGAGCCATATCTTGACATCCCCAGGTATGACCTCAAGGTCGAAATCTGTGCGAGCCACAAGCATCTGGGGAGCGTCCTGCATGTTGATGGAGTCATGGGACCGGAGCTTCAGGCACGAGCCGTGGAGCAGAACAGCGGTATTGGGCCACTAAAACGATCCGTGTTCAAGATGAGGGGCGTTACCAAAAGCACCAAGCTCCGATACTGTTACCCCCTTTGCTCGACGAAGCTACTTTTCCACGGGGCTATCTGGGGCCCGCTTAGCAGCAAGGACGCCGAAAAACTAAAAACGGAGTTTTTGAAGCCTTACCGACACGCCTTAGGCGAAGACAGCTGGAGAGCCCAGCATGAAGGAGCCCGCATGCGAAGCGAAGACGTCATGCTCGAGGCTGCTTTGTTTGACCCTGCGGTCGTCCTCAGAGTCCTACGTTTGCGATACTTTGGGAGAGTGCTTCGCACAGGTCCGCCACAGCTAAGGCTGCTGTTACAGTACTTGTGGGAAGAAGGGGAAGGGTGGTGCGGATTGCTGCGGGGAGATTTCGAATGGCTCGACGAGCATCAAGAGCATGAGAGCCACACGAACCCCACCCCCCACTGGAAGTGGTTTGAGGTTGCCCGTGAAGCACCGGCCTCTTGGAAGGCTGCCATCAACCGTGCCACGGCCGCGTACGGCCATTGGAGCAAAGACCAGTTGAAGCTGACGCTTTGGCGCCAGAAGATTTACGATGTCTGCCAAGCGAGTGGCATTAGCCCCCCCCCCACGGTCGTACCCCCCCCTCGTGTCTTAGTATACCCTTGCAGCATGTGTGGTGCTGTATTCACAACGGTTGGAAGTTGGAGGTTGCATAGGGTGCGAGATCATGAGGAAACAGACCATGCATCGATGCATGCAGCAGGAAGCGATTGCCATGCTTGTATGAAAGGATTTTCCACGCGCACGCGACTCTTGAAGCATTTACGAAGGGGGAACAGAAGGTGTTTAGCGACTTGGGTGCACACGACAGCTCCCCTAAGCGCTGAAGAGAGGGAACACGAGAAGCAGGTGGAGGCCGCTCAGGCCAGGGCTCTCAGGGCCCGCGGGCTCTACTATGCTAAAGCCGAGACGCCAGTCTACCCAATTCAGGGCCCGGCCTGGCCTCCCCCGCCCCAAGACCTGGTTGATCAGCTTAGGTTCCCTGAACCCCCGCCAATGCCCACAGAGGCAGAAGCTTGCCAGTTTTACGGAACGTCTGCAGTACCAAAGCCAGTGCCCCTAGATGGAGTGCGGTACGTGCTCCACCTGTTCAGCGGTCAGCGCAGAGCAGGAGATTTTCAATCGCACTTCGAGAAGTATCAGAGCAGATCCGGAGCTGCAGTTTGGGTTTTGTCGGTTGACGTCGTTCACCACGTGTCGGGGGATCTCAGAGATTCAGCAGCTGTCCAGACGCTCATAGATTTATTCTTTGCAGGCCGTGCGCTTGCGTTTATCGCAGGGCCCCCCTGCGAAACGTGGAGCTCAGCGAGAGCCAACGAGCTCGAGGGAGCCTCGGGACCCAGAGTGATACGATCGGTCCAGTCTTTATGGGGGATCCCACAAATGACCAACCGAGAGTGGGAGCAGGTGGAGGCAGCAAATAATTTATATAGAACAACGCTGCTATTCGCATATGTCGCTGCTGCAACAGCCGCAGCAGGAATTGTAGAGCACCCTGCCCCGCCGAGAGACCCCATGCTCCCCTCTTCGTGGTCATTGCCAGAAACGTCTCACATTATCCAGCTGTTGCAGCCAGATGTAGTAGTGCAGCTGAATTGGATAGATCAGTGTGAATTTGGTGCTCCATCGCGAAAGCCTACATGCTTTATGACGATAAACTTGCCATCCATCAGCGAGGCGATACAGACAATGCCTCGCGGCGGAAAGTGCTCACATGCTTATGGCAGCCACAAAGTGCTGATCGGTCGGGACGGGAAGGGGGGCTTTAACACAGCCCCCGCTAAGCAATATCCTGACGAACTGTGCGGTTTTCTGGCTAAACACGTGTATGATTTCTGTGAAGGGAAGGCGACTACAGATCCAGCCTTGCCTTCCACACCGTTCGAGGTAGAAGATGATCTTGCCAGGTTTTACGTGCCGCTCGATTGTTACAGTGAAGAGCAGCAATGGGACCATTATGGTCGCGACTTTGCCGGCCAGCCAGCCTAATAAGATGATGGGTGATCGGGTATGACGGTACGGTGGACGGGGGGGTCAAAGAAAGAGGCTCGGCCCCGGCTTGCACCGCAGCGGCAGTCCGCCGCCGAGATGAAAGCACATCTCTGCTATCGCTTCGACCAAGTCGACGCGATTGAATTTGGTGCAGATCCAATTCGATGCGACCTGCGAGTTCGACTCACCTTGGCCGAAATGCCAGAAATGCCAGGAGGAGGAGGAGGAGGAGGAGGAGGAGGAGGCGGAGGAGGAGGAGGAGGAGGGGGGGGGGGGGGGAAACGCGAAAGGGGGCTACACATATTCGCACGGTTACGATAAGGGGGCCACGCCGGCGGGGGGTCATGATGGGGGAGGCAAAGATGGGGGGCCACGATGGGGGGGGTCGGGGCACGGCTAGGGATATATGGCTAGGGATGTAGGGCTAGGGGTATAGGGCTAGGGATATCAGAATAGGGATATAGGGATGGACGAGGGAGGCATGCTCCTGTACCACTCTCTTTCCCTGCAAATCTGGGCTTTGAAACAAGGGTGGGCAGGTGCAGCAAAATCAAAGTGATCTTCCCAAGAAGTCCGCCGGGGGCGGGGGGTGGGGGACGTAATGCCGCATGCCCCCCTCATAGGGATAGGTGGCGGGATGGAGATGTAGGGTACGGATGTAGGGAGTACAGATGTAAAGGGATAGGCAGAGAGCTGGGGATACGGATCGGGAGCGATTCCGGATCACGCCGCCCCAGCGATTCCTGATCGGGCGACCCATGGGAGGCCACTGGAGGCCAAGTCGCCCCACCGACTCCGGATCGAGCGACCCACCTACGGGCCTCGGACAGACGCAGAGAACAGACAAGCTGAATGGGGAAAGGCGAATACGAACACGAGTGGGACGAAGAATTCGCAGAGCAATCCGAGAGCGAGCGACCATGAGCATGGGCAGGATTTGGATCAGCACGGATACTTGGTACGAGGACAAGGAGGGGGAGCACGCTGCACAGGAACAGGAATGGTAAAATAACCAAACAAAAAATCAGAAAGAGGAGAATGAGGAAGAGGAGGATGAGGAGGACGATGAGGAAACCGAGGATGGCAAGGAAGGCGAAACGGAACGAAGAGGGAAGGCGGGGGGAGGTGAGCGGATGCGAGGCGAGGCACGTCGGAGTCGTATGTTGGAAGAAGAGAGTGCGGGGGGGAGGAGGAGGAGGAGGAGGAGGAGGAGGAGGAGGAGGAGAGGAGGAGGAGGAGGAGAGAGGAGGAGGAGGAGGAGGAGGAGGAGGAGGAGGGAGGAGGAGGAGGAGAGGAGGGGGGGAGAAGGGAGGCAGGGCGAGGGACGGGCGAGACAAGGGAGGGAGGGGAGACTCCCCCCCCCCCCCCCCCTCCTCCCCCCCCCCCCCCCCTCGCCCCTCCCCTCCGCCGTCTCTCCCCTCTGCCCCCCCCGGTGCCTGCCCCCTCCCCCTCCCGCCCCGCCCGCCCTCGAGGGGCGGGGCAGGGGGGGCGAGGTGGCGACCGGCGAGGCCCGTCGCGGTGCGAGTCTCCCGGCTGGGCCGCGAGGCGCCGCCGCGCCAGCGCCGCCGAGGCGCGCGCCCGGTCGCTCTGCGCGGCGGCCTCGGCGCGTGCGCTCGGGGCGCCCAGGCCGCGGTCGATCGCCCGGCAGCGCCCCCCCTTCCCCTGGGGCTCCGCCAGGTCCTCTCCTCTCCTCCACGTCCCCTGCCCTCTCGGGCCACTCCTCGATCCTTCGCCTCCTCGTCTCTCTCTCTCTCTCTCTTCTCCTCTTCTTCTCCTCTTCTTCTTCCTCTCTCTCTCTCTTCTCGTTTCCTCTCTCCTCCTCCTCCTCCTCCTCCTCCTCCTCCTCCTCCTCCTCCTCCTCCTCCTCCTCATCCATCTCCGCCGTTTCCTCCTGGAGCCATCCTCTGAGCTCGCCCAATACCATCGTCCAAACCATTGAGCTCGCCCAATACCGAAACCTCACGGTTGCTGCACTCAGCTGAATTCTGATAACTCAGATGACCGCCAAGTCAGAAACAACAATTCCCATGAGTTTCGACACCTATATTCATTGACCGCTCATCCCCGTCATTTCTTTTTTGGTCCTCCCCATTTCCATCTGCCCCCCCTCCTCTGCCTCCTCCTCATACATTGTTTTATACATACATACATACATACATACATACATACATACATACATACATACATACATACATGCATGCATGCATGCATGCATGCATACATACATACACACATACATACATACATACATACATACATACATACATACATACATACATACATACATACATACATACATACATACATACATACATACATACATACATACATACATACATACATACATACATACATACATGCATACATGCATGCATGCATGCATACATACATACACACATACACACATACATACATACATACATACATACATACATACATACATACATACATACATACATACATACATACATACATACATACATACATACATACATACATACATACATATACACATTCCTCGCCTTCCCCCTCTGAAGCCGGTCTCCTCTCCCTTCTCCTCTTCCCTTCCGTCCCAACGTCTCTTCTCTATCATCTATCCCCTTACCCCCTCCTATTCGGATACATCCTCGTGGGCAGAAGGGGCACCAGGCAGGTCCCACTCGGCCGACCGTATCGAGGTCGGCTGGACCAGAGCTGCAACAGCTGGGGCTCGACAATACTCCAAGCCAACAAAGATCGAGTTCGGGATCGGCCTCTTCCTTCGGCTCGGTCGGGCCTGGGTCTGTCGGATAGGTCGGACTGGACACGGACCTGGCACGGGCTGGTCGGCCGGGAACCGGTACTTAGTTGAGAGAAGGAGAGGGCGGGGAGGAAAGAGGAAGGGGTGAGGAGAGAGGGAGGATGAAGGGCGGGGGGGTGGGAGGAGGGAGAAGGATGGAGGATGGAGGGAGGAGGGGTGAGGAGGGAGGAGGGAGGGCGGATGAAGGGAGGCAGGAGGCAGGGGAGGGGAGGACAGAGGGGATCGGCTGGTCTGGGCCGCGGCCACGGCGCACTCTTCCTCCAGCGTGGCGTTGCGCGCCTCGGCCTCTGCGAGCTCGCGTTGGAGCTCAGTGACCCGGCTGTTGGCCAAGTCCGCCTGGGGCCAAAAAGCTGCGCGAGCACTGTGAGCAGTTGATGATCGGTGTGAGACGCCTTCGGAGCAGTGGTGCTCTTTGTCACAGTTTCCGAGCCCCGGTAGGAGGTAGGCAGGCAGAGAAGTCGCGTAATAGCGGGGGGGGGCGACCCTTCACCCCAGCAGGCGCTGGGGAGGGCCAAGCGCGTGACGCGCGGCAGAGGGCGGGGAACGGAACGAGAGCCTGGGATAGGAGGCCTGGAAATGGGCACCAACACCAACACAGGGTGTTGCCTCCACAGGGGGAAGATGATCCTGGATTTCGGTGTTGGTGGTAATATTTCGGCTACCCTGGAAGCCAGAATATGACCACCATCACCGGGATCTGGATCTTCTTCCCCAGGTGGAAGCAAGCCGCCGATATTGGTGTTGGTGTCAACCTCTAGGCCTGCGATGGGAGGAAGGGGAAGGGCGGGAGAGGAGACGACGGCTCGGAGCGAGGCACGAAGCGGCGAGGAGCAGGCAATGGGGCAAGAGGGAGACGCTGGGCGGAAGGCTTCCTCCTCCTCCTCCTCCTCCTCCTCCTCCTCCTCCTCTTTCTCCTCCGCCTCCTCCGCCTCCTCCCCCCTTCCCACCCTCGGGGAGGCGGCACCTTCCGCCCCGAGCCCCGCCTCGCACCGCAGGCTCGCGGCGTCGTCCTCGAATCTCTCCATGCACGCCTTCTCGGAGTCCAGCTCCCTCTGCAGTCTCAGGCACTCGCGCCGCTCGTGCCGCGCCTCCTCTTCGAGAGCCGGGCACGCGTCCTCAGTGGAGGGAGATGGTGCTCGCGAGGAGAAGGTCGAAACTCTGAAGAGGAGCGAGGAGCTAGGAGTTCTGAGGGGGGGAAGAGCTTGGAGAAGTCGCAGAAGCCAGAATAATGATGAGGAGCTGGGAATCCTGAGGAACGAGGAGGAACGAGGAGGACAAGGAGGAGGAGGAGGAGGAGGAGGAGGAAGTGTTATTGTTCTCATACCGACGTCGAGACTCACTGGGCACAGAGACCAGCAACATCCCCTTCTACAGGAAAGCCGACTACCGATCTGACCAGAGGCCATTTGACGACAACGACGACCCAGCACGCAACGTCCGACGAGTACCACTCATACACTTTACATGGGACGAACTCAACAACGACATAGACAACACTATGGTACATTTCAAATACGGCAGAGGCATTGAAGAAGGAAGCCTTGGATAAGGAATCCGGGGTCTGGAAGCGAGTGGAACTCCAACTGTGTGTATCGGCCAGGGGCATCGCCACCGCCCTCATCAGCTAAGGAATCCTCAAGGGTCTGAAACCTCCTGGGCACATTCCTCAACCAATGCCCCCACCGTATGCTTACTACAACGAGGACGGCACAGAGAAGAGCCTCAAGGAGACACTGTACAATATCTACGACCAGCAAAGCGACAAGAAGTACGATTTGCAGATTGACGAAAACGACGGCATCCGTATTAAGTTCAACCGCGACGACGCAGACTACGACCGAACCACATTTATCAGCACCATGACCGACTCAACCACGACGTTACCCTAGGATCAGAGTTATCCTCGCTTACCAACTACCTAGCAGACTCAGTCCATACCTGAGATGCCTCCACCCTACACCCACCGTGAGCCACATACATCACAGAGAAGCACAGAAGGCACATAACACCGCCATCGACCTACCAGCAACCAGACTGCGTGGAGCTACAGAGCCAACTGTCTACGCGTGCAGGCTACTAAACCAGTGGACGGGCCCAGCACGAGCCAGACCAGACCATCACCGAGGACCAACGCCACCGACGCACGAGCTGACAGCACCGACAATGGACAACCTCAAATGGCCACGCACACTCTACCACCTGGTGCCAACGCCCCTCCAAGTCCTACGCCCCAGCGACCGCACCACACGTACCACGCGCAACCCCACCTACATCCGACCGCAACCAACCATGGAGGTACACCACCCAGACGGACCACAATTCAAATCCCGACTGCCCAAGCACATCGTCACGAGAGATGGCGCCAAGTACCCCACCGACATCCCTGCCGACCATCCGCATTGCGACTTTGTATAACAACAGCTGGATATACACTACGACGTAGAAAACAAAAACTACGATCACTTGGACAAAGAACGACGCAAATGCTCTGGCCACACAAAAATGATATCACCACAGCAAAGCATTCCCAACCTCACCTTCAAGAACAACAGCGACAAACGCGACAAAGCAAGACCCGACGTCAGCTACGAACGCATACCGCCGCCACCCGCACAAATACTTAGAGGAGGAGGAGGAGGAGGAGGAGGAGCAGGAGGAGCAGGAGGAGGAGGAGGAGACCCTCTTCGCCAAGAAACGGCGAAATACGAGGAAGGGGAGGCCCGGGCGCCGTCCTGCATGCGCAGGCTTTCCTCCCGCACCCTCGCCAGCCGCTCGCGGAGCTCCTCGCACTCCTCGGCGATGCGCGCGTTGCCCCGCAGCAGGGCGGCCGCACTCCCGGCCCTCGCCAGGCCGCCCGCGCCTGGCGAGGGCCGGGCCCCGGCGGAGGGCGAATGGGCGGGAAAGGGGGTTGACGAGCGCCCTGCCGCCACCAGATCATAGGGCGACGAAATCTATACATATCCACTGCTCCTGGCCAGGCCCATCCTGGGTCCTGGAGCGGTGTATATGTCTCCCTGGCTAAGCCAGGAGGGCACATACACAGCTCCTGGGCCCAGGATGGGCCTGGCCAGGAGCAGTGGATATGTTTAGATCTCGTCGCCCAGAGATCATATGAGTCCCTGGTGGGAGGCGGTTCCGCCCCGACACTCGGCATCTACGGGGGGGGGGGGCCTGGGAGGACCAACAAAAAGGGGACGTAGGAGAGCAGGAAAAAGGGCAAGGGGGGGGGAGGGGGAGCGGAGGGGGGCGTGGGCAAAATGGCAAGGGCCCAGTGGGCCAGCAGCCCAACCATCACTGATCCGCTGGAAACCGGGAGAACATGAGGACCAAACGATGTCTCAAACCATCGATCGCGTAGGCAGGTACCTTGGCCGACAGACAGTGGTGAGGAGGAGCGGGTGCTGAGGAGGGGGAGGAGAAGAGGATGTGCGCATTGCGGGGGAGGAGAAAAAGAGAACGAGAGAGAGAGAGAGAGCGATCGAGAGACAGAAAGACTGGAACATATACTGACTGACATACAGGGAGAGAGGTTGTGAAAGAGAGAAAGAGGAAAAGACACAAAGACAGGATCTATATATATATATATATATACACACACTGCGCGCAACAATTCGGGCGGGGTGTCCGTCTGGGCGCGCGGGGTACCAGCGCCAGCTGCGCCCCCCTCGTGGCGGGATGGGGCCACTTGAATCACGCGGGCGGGGAACTGCCCGTAGGACTCACCGCTCGTGCGATTACAGCCAGATGTTTTTGACAGCGTGCTACCTGCAGTTATTGTTCGTCGCATGTGTCACACCTTGCAAATGCAGATTTGCCACAGCGCTGTCACTGAGATCTCCATGCTTACAATCCATGTGACAATTCCAGCGTCAAATTCAAATGGTAGCAATCTCCGCACAGCTTCTCACGCACATCCCTCCCACCACCCAGGCAAGAACCTTTTTGTCTCCAGATGCTGGGTGGTTGCACGCTCAGTCTCGCGTGCTTGAGGCCGCGGCGGCGGGTGGCGAGAGGGCAGCCGTCGCCGCCACACTCGCACCTCCCCCCTTAACACCCTGTCCCAGAGGCCCCTAGGGCAGCCGTCGCCGCCGCAAGAAACCTGCTGGGAGGGTGGGTGGGCGCAAATCTGTGAGTAAGCATTTGGCCTCGAGCCAACATGGCCACGTAGGCGGAAAGGGAAAATTGAAGCAGACTGCGTCTCTGGGTTGGCTCAAGGGCTGGGGCTCAAGCAAAGCACTGTACCCCCTTGAATTCCCGAGGCGCTGTACCCCCTTGAATTCCCGAGGCACCGGCCCTGGTGCCCGAGGCCGGGGGCATTACAAATCTTTACCTCCACTGTGCCTAGCTCACCCTGGCGTACTATATACAATCTCGTATTGGAGTGCTCATGGCGAAACCCCCCCTTAAGCTTCCTTAGGGGGGGGGTTGGAAAACCACACTTCCATGGCCGAACTCGGTGGTTCTACTTTGTTGCGCCCACCCGCCGGCCCTCAAAGAAGCCTCGGCTCCGATTGATACCGCGCAAACTTCGTTATGCTTTCGCATCAATCTCCGCGCAGCTTCTCACGCACATCCCTCCCACCACCCAGGCAAGAACCTTTTTGTCTCCAGATGCTGGGTGGTTGCACGCTCAGTCTCGCGTGCTTGAGGCCGCGGCGGCGGGTGGCGAGAGGGCAGCCGTCGCCGCCACACTCGCACCTCCCCACCTGGCCTCAAGACGTGGAGCCTTCCGAACACGATGAGGGACTCGAAGCCGACGAGCTCGGCGCGGACGGACGCCTCCGGAAACAGCTTCGGCACCGAGCGTCCCCCGGAAAGGTCTCCAGGGAGGCGTGCTTCGTGAAGCACCAGTGGGCGAACCTGACGCCGCATTTGGTCCTCCACAGCTGCGGGGGGACGTCGAGCCCCTCCAGTACTGCGACCTCGTGGGCCCGGAACCTCCTCGAGCCTCCGCCGCTGACGTATGGCTTGGCGGAGCCGGCGTCGAGTTTGGCGAGCCGCTCCTGCAGGGCGGCCAGCGCGTCCGCGACGTCTTGCTTCTGGGCAGCCACCTGGTCGCCAACCTTGATCACGTCGTCCTGCGCCTTGGTGAGGGACTCGATGAGCGAGCGCTTCTCCTCGAGAGCGATCACCTCCGCTGGGAGATTCTCCAAGGGCGCCTCGCGGATATAGCGGAGAACGGTGTCGCCGGCCCACCGCGCATGCAGCATGATCTTGTGCACCTCCAACCCTGCGATGGCCAACCTCTGGGCCCCCGTGACTCTGAAAGAATGCCCTCCCAAAGCCTTCGCGCCACTCGGGTGGAACGGAGCGCCTCCGTAAGCCGCAACGGTGGCCTCGAGCGCCGCCACGATGTTGGCCTTCAGGCAGACCCCGCCAGTGCGGGTTGGGAAGAGCGGCGAGTCGTCATCGAAGCTCGGGCCGAACATGTCCCGGAGCATGCCCAACTGCTCATCTGCCGCGCAATACGGGCACAATTCACGAGACAGCGGGCTCGCGCACGTGCAACCCCATGTTCTCGTGCAGCCGACGGCCCGCGGGTCCCTTTTGGAGACTGGGAGCCTGAGGCTGACCTTGCGCTCGGCCCTGTTGAGGGTCACGTGGCCGACCTTGGCAAACGCCGCCTCGATCTCCCGCATGACAAAAATGGAGGCGACGATGAGGAAGTTCACCCATCCCACGGGCGCGAGCGGCCCCAGGTGGACGCTGCCCTCGCGCACCGCCTTGACCGCTGCGTTGAGGTCGACGGGCGCGGACTGTCTCGCAACGCCCAAGCCCCGGAGGACCGATGCCGTGGCCTTCCGCCGAGCAAGGTCCAGCTGCTCATCCCACGGCCAGCCGGCGAGGGTGTGGGCCTCCTTAGCCTTGGCCATGTACGCAGGGAGCCCCCGGTAGCCCCCCTGCTTGAAGCAAGCGGCGACAGCGTAGACCGTCTCCGCGCTCAGCGGGAGGGCCGGCGTCGCTTCGCCAAACCAAGCCTGGTGGAACACCGACCAGGTTGCCCACAGCGAGTCGGCGGTGAGCTTGCTGCTGGCCGCTGAAGTGTCCTGCAGGAGCCTGGCGAGGACCTCCTCCTTCCCCTTGATCGTGGAGATGGCCGTGAGCACCTCTGCTCTGCAGGGGCGTTTTGTCGCCCTGACGTCTGGGACATCCTTCCTGCTCTTACGAGGCACAAGCTCCGCGCCCGACGCGGCCGCAGAGCCGACCCTTGCCGACGCCTGCGACGCAGCGCGGGCGGCCGAGCCAACGCCCGCCCCGCCTCCTGAAGCGGCCGCGCGGTCGGCCCTCGCCGACGCGCGCGACGCAGCCGGAAGCTGTGCAGGAGCGGCGCCCGAGGCGGCCGCGGGGCCAGCCATCGCCGACGCCAGCGACGCAGCATGGGCAGCCGAGCGGGCGCCAGCCCCGGCCCCCGTAGCGGCCACGCGGTCAGCCCTCGCCGACGCGCGCGACGCAGCTTGGAGATGGGCTGACCCCTCCTCCCCCCCCCCCGGGGCGACTGCAAGGCCGGCCATCGCCGACGCGTGCAACGCAGCCCCGGCGGGCAACGTTGCGCCTCCTGCCGAGGCATCCGCGTCTGCGCTCACCGATGCTCGCGACGTGCTCGCTGTCGGCCTCTGCGGTGCACGGGCGGTTTCCCCCGGTCGCTGGCCTTTGCCATTGGCCTTGCCCTTCAGTACGGCCGCCCTCCGCGCCGGCCCGAGGGCTGCGAAGTCCGCCCCCCCTTGCCGAAGGCGACCGGCCCACATGCACCTGCATGGGCCTCTGAGCGGCCGGTCAGTAGCGTTCGCGGCCATGCCCAAAAGAACGAGGGCGAGCGCTGCCGCGCACTGTCGCGCCTGGCCGACCTGAGCGAGCGCGGAATCGCCGCGCCCTGCGAAATCCGGCTCAGCGCGTCGCACTCGAAGTTCAGCGTGCCCGCAACGTGCTCCAGGCTGACGTGGACATTCGCGCTCTCGAACCGCAGTGCCAACTCCGCCGCGAGAGCATTCATGAGCGGCGTTCTCCCGGCCAGCCTGGCTGCGCTGAAGAGGGCCGCGGTGGCGTCCGTCTGGAGCAGCGCGAGCGCCTCGTCCTCGAGGCGCGGCAGCCAGCAATCCACGGCAACCAGGAGCGCGAGCAACTCCCACTCGGCCTGCCACGCTGGGTCCCCGCGGGTCGCGTGGAGCAGCTCGAGGTCCGCGTCCGCCCACTCCTCGGCGATCCAGGCGCGCGGCGCCCCATCGACGAAGAAGATCGCGCCGAACCCGTACGGGGACGCGTCGGTGCGGATGCACGCCGACAGGTCGGCTAGGCGGGTTGTCGCATTTGTCCATCTTTGGACTGTGATCGCCTTGCCCTCGCGGTCCCGGATGAGCCCGGCAAACAGCAAGCGGATCCAGGTGATCGCCTGCTGGATTCGCAGCAAGAAGAAGAGCTGGCCGGGCCGCTTCTTGGCCGAGAATCTCAAGGCCTGCGCGTTCTGCTCCTGGTCGTGCGCCGCCAACGCCGCCCACAGGCAGGCGTTGAACCCGCGAAGCCAAGGAAGTAGACCGCTGGCCCACGAGAGCTGGCCGGCGATCTTGCGAACCTCCTTGACGTGGACAACGCCCGTCGAGCGGTGGATCGCGTCGACGGCCTCGACGATCTCCCGGAACTTTTTCGGAGCCAGCGTGACCTGGATGCCCCACGCGTGCCGGCGGCACTTCCGACGCCACCGGCGCTGGAGCTCCAGTTGTGCCCCGATCCAGGGCACGGTCTGCCCGCGAATGGCCTTCTTCCAGTTGAGCCTGAAACCAAGCGCGGCCCAGAACAGGAGGAGCGCACCCAAGAGCCGCTTCCGCTGGTGCGGGGGGCCGCGAGTGCAGATCGCGGGGTCGTCCA